GAGGCCTACGGATGTTTAGAAAACAATTTACAAGGGTCACTTCTCTTCTTCTAACATGTATCAGGGTAGAACTCAGGTACGTAGCCAGGCTTGGCAACAAACTCTGTTGTGTGCTGAGCTATCTTTCCAGCTTTATAGTTTGTCTTTTATGAACCAAATATTTCAGTTAACAGCTAACTATCTGTTAAGAAAATTCCAAATTGTTTCCTCTGTTTTTTTCCTGTGTTCATAATCCTATGTGATTTTTGTAAACTAGTAACTGCAATGAAGAAATCAAATTTTTTAAAGAAATATTCATTTATTATCTTGTAGAAGTTGGAGTTGCTTGTAGTGGAAAGAACAGTGGTATATACTAAATTTACTTTTCATCTGAGTCATATTTAATGAAAGACTATGCACACTAACCACACTTGCTGGGTTATTCCCACCAGGCAGAAGACTGCAAGGAATGCTTGAATTTTCTGAATTTAGTTATTAGTACCTGATGTGACATGTAAAAGGATTAGCAAAGAAACAAGTGATCCCTGCTATTCAAAAGAACTCCATAAGAACACAGTACTAGATACAGCACTTCAATGTATCTTTCAAAAGGAGCCTGCATCACCGTCCTGCTGTGCCCTACGACTGTTACAACACAGCACGTCTACATTCAAGAACACAGCTAGGCTACATGTGTGTTTTATTTTCTGACAGATGCTGTTGTCATCCCTGCAGTCATGTCTTATTTTTAATTCTTTGCATTTTTTATTTTGCATGTGTGTGTGTGTGTTTTCATATGTATGCACATAGACATGTGTGTATCTTTGGAGGCCACAGGGAAGCCTGGGTGTCACTGCTCAGGCACTTTTGACCTTTGCTTTCTGAGACTCTCAGTGGCCTAGAACTCTGCAGGCAGGGTAGAGTGGTTTGCTAATGAGTTCCAGGAAATCACTTGGCTCTGCCTCCCTAGCACTGGGATTATTAGCGCCAGCCACTCTGCTTAGCTTCTATTTGTCTGTCTGTCTGTCTGTCTGTCTATCCATCTGTTTTTACATCTCAACTGTAGTCCCCCCATCTTTCTGCCACATATACTCCTTCATTTCTATTCAGAAAAGAGCAGGCCTCCAATGGCGTCTATCCAGGTTCCGGTGATCAAATATATTTACCTAGCATCACAGCCCATGCCCCATTTCATACACGTCAGGAGCATGAAACACCTTGAGAGAACTCACGAAAGGAAAGCTATAGTCATGTTTTTCAGACCTCTGGAGCTTGGATTATTGATGTTATACATGTCATTGCAACTTAATTTCACCTCCGTTTTAACCATGACAGCTAGGTTACATATATTTGTGTTTTTAAATAGATTTTTTTACTTGTCCTTTAAATATTTTTACTCAAATATTATTTTTAATAGCGTATTTTAAATGCTCACAGACAGCCAGTGCCTTCATTGAGTGGCCTCAAATATTCGAGCATTTGTCTGGTTGGAAATGGAAGCGTTTTAGACCTTCTCCTATGTTGTTTTCTACCTAGTTTTAAGGAACATAACTTTAGCAAAACTCTTACATTGGTGTGAAACCACAGTAGGATTATGAAGCTGCCTAGAGGGGCAGGTTCCCAGTGCTCCAGACTGAAAGGTCAATAAATAAATCCTGCTGAAATAAATCAGAAATATGGTGCCAGGTAATTTAGGCTTCCTCGTTCAACCCCTTAAATAACCAGAGAAACAGCAAGTGCCTTGAGTGGAGACGGATTTGCTTAAGCCCTTAACGTATGCTCCTCTCCAAGAGCGCCATGCTCAGCAATAGGCTCTCCCATGAAGCTGGCAGCCTCAGCAGAGATTCTTAAACCAAGTAAGTGCATCTTGCAAAGGAGGTGCCTCAGTTCCTCTGTGACAAGGCAGCTTCAGGAAGCAAGGCTTGTCTTGGCTCACAGTTTGAGTACAGGGCACAGTGGCTGGGAGTCATGGACTCAGGAAAGGAGGAACAGCTGGTGCACGGCATCTTTCAATAGGAAGCAAGCAGAAAGAGATGAATGCTGGGACCAGCCCCAAGTCTCCTTTTGATTGCGTATTGACCCTTGGCAATGAATGAGGGCAGCCCACATCTGGGGTGGGTTTTCTTATCTCAGTCTCTGCAGAAACACCCTCTCACACACACAAACACTGAGGTCTACCTCCCAGGTGTTTCTAAATCAGGAGAAGCTAATAGTCAAGATTAAACGTGTGGTCAGACATCTTTTGGACTGCCAGTTCCCAAATAATGACACAGAGACTTCTTATTAAGTATGAAAGTTTGGCCTTAGCTTAGGCTTGTTCCCAAGTAGCTCTTAAAACTATAATTAACCCACTTATATTAATCTGTGTTCTGCCAAATAACTCGTGACCTCTCCCCTGTACCGTATTCCAACTTCTGTGTCTCCACGATGGATTTCCCCATCTCTCGTATTCTCCCTGTCCCAGTTCTTCTCTGGCCCCAGAACTTCCACCTATCCTTTCCTGTCTAGCTATTGACGGTTCAGCTCTTCATTAAACAAATCAGAAAGTGCCTTTGGCAGACACGTTTTCACACAGTGTGATGACCAAATATCCTACAACATAAACATCCCTTAAGGTCTTAGTAGTGATTACCTAATAGAATTATTAATGTCAAGAAGTTGTATTATGTGGGAAATGACACAGGACAAACTTTTTGCATAAAGAGACATAAAATTTGTGAACTGCTAAGTAGGATTAATGTAAACAGAAGGACTAAACAGATAGAAAGACACTTTTCTCTTGTGTCCTAGGCACTGCTCTGCTCCACAAATACTGTCACTTTCCATTAGTTTTAGTGGATATTCGGTGAATTTCAAAATGTATTCACCTACATTTGACATGCCAGATATAGTATTGTATACTTTGTCTTCCAAAGGTTTGGGAACCTTTCATACTGTAAGTGCAGAATTTCACATTGTTAAGTGGTCCACATAGTACTACATTGTGTCATTGGACAATAATTCACACATAAGTTCCCATTGATGAGCATTGTAGCTGTTCGTTTTCTTTGACGTTAAAATCAACACCCCAGTTAGTCTTTACTATATGATTAAAAGATATTCACACGTATTCCAGAAGACCTACAAATAAATCCCCTGCTAGGTATAACTTTCACTTAATGAAAGCTTTTATCAGTTCGAAATGAGGAGAGGCTGATTTCTATGGGTACTAATCCTGCCTTGGGAAAGTCACTATTTTTGTTGAGATATTCCCATTTTCTAAAGCACAAATAGAAATAAGAAGTCAGAATGATTCATTAAAACAGACTTATGGCTTCATGCATATGAAAGTTCTAAAATAACATGGAATTTAAATCTACCCACTTAGATGTTACGCAGTGGACAGGGTAGGCACTGAAGCCTTGTTAGTGGGCGGATCGTGGATTGGTTAGCATGGATGAAAGCTTGAGTTTCGTGCACAACACAGGGTTCTGCAGCTTGGAAAGTCCAGATCAAGACACCAGCAGCTTCACCATCTCGAAGGGTCCCGTCTGCTTCCAGGATGGTACCCTGAGTGCAGCGTGACTGGAGGAGAGCCACTTACCCTACCCGCTCACATTGTAGGAGACAGAAAAGGGGAGAAATGGCCTCTGTCGAACCCTTTCATAAGGACACCAAATCTGACCCCTGAGGGCGAAGTCCACGAGGCTGAGCATCTCTCGAAGGTCATGCCCTGTGGGGCTAATCTCTTCATTGCCCAGGCGTGTAGGAAGGGATGTTCAGAGCACAACATGGGTGGTCACTGAGGGCACAGCTTCCTTCTGAGGTGACAAAAATGTTTAAAGGCTGGCTGTGGACATGGTGGCACACACAATAGTTACCATGTCAAAACCAATGCACTGCACACTGCAAATGCATAACCCTGTATTTGAGAATTATATTTTCTTATGCACTGCACACTGCAAATGCATAATCTTGTATTTTGAGAATTATATTTTCTTATAGCTCTTTAAAAAGAAAAGCCAACCACCTCCAGAAAAGAAAGTTTGCACTTGTTACGTAATGCTGCCTCTTTCATGCCTATTTAAAGAATTTCTGGTTTCTGGGATAATTAGCAGTTTTGTAATAAGACAAGGGGCAGTTTTACCAAGAAGGAAATAATCACAGTGGTCTTATTAACCTCCTGTATAATCAAGCACCATTGAACATTCAGCACTACTGGCAGAGGCATCTCCTGCCAGCGCAGCCTGAAGTCTTTATGAGGAACCGGTTACCCTGATTTCAGAATTGTCAAGAGCGAGAAAGGCCCAGCTGTTCTCAACGGACAGAGAATTAGACTGAAAAGAGATGGGGCCAAGAAATATCTGTATTGTTGCGAATAGCTTCTTCCTTTCCGGGCTCCTTAGTCCAGGGGCATCAGAGATGAAATTTGTAAGCCCTTATTTCTCCTTATTTATCTATAGCTACATTTTTGTTGGCTTGCACGTAGGGAGAAATCGCACTCTGACTGTGCACTGGGCTTATAAAACACAGTAAGGCAGTTTAAAAAATGGATGAACTTGTCACTAGGAGAATAAGACAAATACTCCTTTTGGTCCAGTATTTTTAAAACTCCCAGATTTGCATATATTTCAGGCAATGAGCTAAGTGCTATGCGTCAAGGAGCCGGTGAAGTGGTGCATTATGTCAAGACCCTCACCATTAAGACTTGGGTTCGATCTCTAGAACCCATATGGTAGACAGAACCCTCATGTCCTCTGACCCTCAGCATGTACACTGTGGCAAGCATTCTCATCCTCTCCATGGGTCTCTATCTCTCTGTCTCTCTTTGTTTCTCTCATATGCACGCACATAGTACCCAAAATAAACAAATAAATGTAAAAAAGAGATTAAGCAAAACATTTCACGTCAATACTGGATCAACTGTGTTAATTCAGACCCTATGAAGTACATACATTTTTTAAACAAAATAATACATGAAATACACACGGATTCAAGCAGCCAGGAACCAGGGAGATACCCCAAGACCAACAGTTGTAGGAGGAAGTCTGATGCCGCCATTAAACATGGCAACGCACAGCTTCTTGCCATGCAGCACAGCCATTTTCTTCCCCTCCTTTTCACTCATGGCAGCAAATACATCCGAGCGAAGCCAGGAGATTCGCCACATTGTCAGGTGTTGTTGAAGGTCAGAATGGAGTGTTAGCTTTCAGATTTGGCGGCTTCTCCCTGGGCTTCCCCACTTTGCTCTGTGGAGCTTCTCTGCCCATCGTCTTCACCTTCTGTCTTGTTAATATCAAGACCTGCTAATTTCAAGGCTAATTCATTGCTGTTGCCACTTGCAGAGGAAACCAGGATATCATGTATTACATTTCTTCTACCTGTTCTTCCTGAAGCAATAAAATCTGCATATGTAGTTTCCACATCAGTCATTGCTAACAAATATCCACATAGCAGGGACTGATTTGAAACCTTCTTGTCCTTAATTCATTGACCTTTATTCCTTAAAGATAATCTTCAGATTTCTACCAGAAATTGCTTCTTGGGCACATCAGGCCTTGATATTCAAGGAGCTTCGGGATGAAGAAGCGCATCCGGGCTGCCCCTGGCTGCAGTCCCGCCGCCCGTTTATTAGTAGGTAATGTGTTGGAAGCTTCAGAATTTCATAAGAAACACCATGTTAACAGCAAAGGTTTAAAGAAGGATTTTTCTATCACCTGGCAACAAGCCAAAGAAATAGTAAGAAATTGTCCCAGTTGCTCATTGTACAATCAAACTCCATTACCAGCAGGTTGTAATCCTAAAGGTGTTCACAGAAATGAACTTTTGCAAATGGATGTATTTCACTTCCCAGAATTTGGCAGTTTGAAATATGTACACCATACTATAGACACGTACTCAGGCTTCCAATGGGCTACTGCCCTCAGCTCTGAAAAAGCTGATTCTGTTATTACACACCTCTTAGAGGTGATGGCTGTTATGGGTATACCTAAAACAATAAAAACTGACAATGGTCCAGCATATGTCTCCAGTAAATTGGAACAATTCTTCAAATATTATAATATAAAACATGTAACTGGTATACCTTACAATCCCACAGGACAAGCAATAATTGAAAGATCTAACCGAACCTTAAAAGAGATGCTTCATAAACAGCCAGGGAAAACAAAGACACCTAAACACAGGTTACACAATGCTTTACTAACGTTGAATTTTCTTAATGCTGATGAAAAAGGACAAACTGCAGCAGAAAGACACTGGACTACAGAGAAGACTTCTGAACTGAACCAACCAGTGTATTTTAAGGATGTTATGACCTCAGTCTGGAAACCAGGATATGTGTTACATTGGGGAAGGGGTTATGCTTTTGTTTCCACAGGAGAAGAAAAGGTTTGGGTTCCATCAAAATTAATTAAAATTCGATCAGAACAGAAAACATCTCAGGAGGAGGAAGATAACAGCCCACCTACAAATTCATAGTCCACCATGGGTAAAGTGACCTCCTAAAAGGAAAGAGAAGTGTTTTGTTTTTGTCTTCACAGGTAAACTCAACAAAGAATACTGGACTTATGGATTCCTGAAGAAGAATGAATAGCTACCCTGAGGACCATCAAACAAACAGTAACTCACTGTGTGGTAGCAAAGTCTAAATCTCTCTATATTGTTTTTTCATAGTACCCTTTTATCTTTATTTCTTCACATACCTCAGTTCCCATTCACTTAACTGAAGCTGGCTTTGGAGTTGGATTGGCTCTCCTACTCTAAACTCAAGCATATTATTTAAATACAATTCAGAATTTCTGTATTATATCAAAGAGCCATTGATATAAGACAGAAGAAATAAAATGAGGGACTGTTATCTATGGATTTCTTTTTCTGAACAGTCTAATTTCCTCCAGGTTTTCCATCTTCCCTATTGTCACCTCTTCTGTATGCATACATATGAAAGTTAAAATATTTCTTTGTTAACAGTAATGTTTGAGTTTTCCAGAGAACAAGGGATTTCCTGACAGCAATCTTCAACTGCTTCCGAAAGAGAATGAGGATCCACTTCCTTGACTTCATCTGATTCGACTGGAGGCATCTGAACTGTCCCACATCATTAACTCCACCTGACAAGCACTATCCTGAAAATGGCTTGAAACTACATCACTCTACACAACTCCGGACCAAGAAACTGAAACAGCACATCTTCTACAATCTGGCCAGAGCTTCAAGATAAGAGCTTCAATCAACACTAGAACCCCAGTCAGGAACTTCAATCAAGCATCTCCGGCCATACTGAGACTGTCTGATCTACTGAGATTTTGTTATACTAACATTTTCTTTTCACAGGTCCCCATGAGATTATCATCGTCCCATCTCAGCAGGAAGTAGTTTTGAGAATTCCACACCCCCTCTCCCTACTATTGATATTATAAGATAGTTTACACCTGTTAGTGTTAGTTTTCAATTATTTTAGAGTTGGGATTGGAAGGAGGTGTTCATATTTGGGTGTTTCTTTCAGATAAGTTTAGGTTTAGATAGAAGTTTGATACATTTTGTTCATGGACACAAGTTAGTTGTCCTTTTTTAGACTAAAAGGGGAATTGTAGGAGGAAGTCTGATGCCGCCATTAAACATGTGACTTATTAGAGGCGCATACAGATGAGGTAATAAAAGGGCGGTTTACCACACCACTAACCACACCCACTTTAGGCAGGACTAAAGACGTATACGGCTGGACGTAAAGACATATACGTACGTAGGCAGAAGTAGGTCACTAGCCAGGCCCACTTTTGGGCATGGCTAGGGGCGTTACGTGGGGAAGGCATAAAAGACAGCACACAGGAAGTCTCAGTCTCTTTTCCTGAAGTTCGGCTTCAGGTCCGGCAGCTAGCTGAGAACTGCTTGGCTCCTCTGGGTTTGGTATCTTGTGAGTAATTTTCTACATTAAATACTTAGCTTTACTGTCAGTAATTGTGTGTCGCGTATCGTTACAGCGTCCGTTGAAGCCTACAAACAGTGTGATGTGTACAATTTTAGAAAAACTTTGAATATGGAGGGTTTAGGTTTAAAAGTAAAAAAATGGGGAAAAAATGAAGTGCTGATGACATGAACCTTTGCAAATGAAACACAGAATTTGGAACTTAGAGCTCAGAGTCTAGGGAGTTGGATCGACAATGAAACAGTAAATTATAAAAATCCACTGAAAAGCAGAAAGAACTACCAATTTAAAATTTCCTTTTCCCTAAGGTGTGTGCTTCCACAAATCACCGAGTGAGAAGAAAGTCTCCAAGATCCTGTAACCACGGTCAGCTTGCATACAGTCGCAAGATACAAAGATGTGCACGTTATGTGGTCCAGGAAGCCCTAAGATGAGAAATGAATGTGCAGCCAAATTTAACAGTACCTGGCCAAGAAAGATCTTCGAAAAAACCCTGTTCTCTACATAGGCCTCCGTCATTACCAGGTGTAGATGCTGGAAAGCATAGGCTTACTCCACAATAACCAACAAAAGCCCAACCAAATCAATGTGGGGATAAACACCAAAAGATGAGCTAGACCTCACTGCTTAGGACATTAGATATCTAAGTTATCAGTGGGAGAAAGAGAAGGAAGAGAGAGACCACCAAACAGTTAATGTCTGTCTGTTGTGGGAAGGAAAAGACTCACTAACACTCAAATGGATTGAGGATAACATTTTAAATATGTAAAATTGCTCTAACAGACGTATAGAGAATTCTGTTGGGGGAAGTCCTGTTATTTGTCAATAAAGTACTGTTGAGCCTATAGGAATCTAGATAGGTGGGGCTAGGAGTCCAGGAGGATTCTGGGAAGGAGAAACACAAGAGAGTTCGAGATGTAACGCCATTGGGGTAGGAAGCCCGGAAACCTCTCCGGTAAGAGACATACTTAGATTAACAATTATGGGGTAATTACTTAAGGCAGAGGTAGCCAGTAAGAAACAAGCAAGGCCAACAGCTTCATAATTCATATAGCCTCCTGTGTGTTTATTTGGGGACTACAAAGTGGCAGAGCCCAGGCAACTGGCGGGAGATAAACCAAAGCGGCTAGCAAAGAAAAAGCTTCATTTAACAGAATTCTAGACCTGAAAAAAATAATCTAGAACACTGTGTTGGTTTGTAATTGGCCCCCATAATGTGGCACTATTAGGAGGTATGGCTTTGGGCTTTGTTGGAATAGGAATGGCCGTGTTGGAGGAAGTGTGTGACTGTGAGGCTGGTTTTTAGGTTTTCTATGCTGAGGATACTACAGAGGGTCTCAGCTGACTTCCTGTGTCCTGCAAGACATAGGATTCTCCACTCCAGCACCACATCTGCCTGCAGGCTGCCATATTCCCTATTGTGATGATAATGGACTGGACTTCTGAAACTGTAAGCTGACACTCTCAGTTGAATGTTTTATTTACAAGTGTTGCCATGGTCATGTTGCCTCCTTACAGCAATAAAAATCTTAAGACAAACATATAGATTGTTTCTGAAAAATTGGACATGTGCCAAGCTATAAAACAAATGACAATAATCCTCTAAAAACATATGCCATGCAAACGTTTCTCATTTGGGTGTGGTGGTACATGCACTCAGAAGTCCGGAGTAGTAGATCTGTGTGGGCCAGCCTGATAAACATAGCAATATTCAGGCCAGGAAGGGCTACATAGTAAAATCCTGTCACAAAGGCAAAATCTGTTCTCTAATAATACATAAGTTCAAGAAAAGAAAACAGTAAAAATTTTGAAATAGTTTTGTGAAATGCTGAAACTGATACACATCAGATAGTTTAGCTATTATAAACATTAAGATGCTAAAATCATTACTTTTTCTTGTTTGATTTGGTGGTGTATGTGTGGGGAAGTGGGCATTTCTTTGAGACAGAATCTTATGTACCATAGATTGGCTTCAGACTTGTTACGTACCCATAGCTGGTCATAAACTCCTCATCTTCCTGCCTCAACCTTTTGAGTGCTGAGTGTGTCACAAAGCCAGAGGAATGTCCTCATGGGTGTCCCTCTGGGGTTCTGTGCGGGTTTCTGTAAGCTCTACATATACAATTTGGGATTTCTAGGATAAAGGCCATCTTCCTGCTCAATGTTAAAGACAATAATGAATTTCAATTTCCCAAAATGGTTGGACCAATTTATACCCGCTGGCAGTTCCAAATGTAGTATTATTTATAGTTATTATTCTCAAATAATTACAAAGTATGACATGAAATATAAAGAATGCACTAAAATAAAGAATAAAACCAAGCTGTTTTCTAATGGAATAATTAGAGAAGTCTTACTAAGGAGAAAGCATTGATTAGTCCAAAACTCTAGGAAGAACTTCCTTATAGAGGAAAAAATATTCAAAGACCCCATTCAAGAAAGTAAGAGAAGGCCCTGTAGCTAACATGCTTTTAATCACGTGGAAGGGATCTAAAATCAACTTTTAAAAGTCAGAAGTGGCCAGAGAAGGTTGCTTCATCCCTTGTTTCATGGGAAGCTCAAGTCAAGGCACAAGTCCCAGAGATGGTCTTGACCTTCACCAGGAATCCAATTAATTAGCAACATTGTTTCTACTATTCTACAAAATTGTGGGTGTAGATTAAAGTATGTCCT